ACCGAATTGTTTGTGAACAGAAGCATTCGTGAACCGAGGTATTACTGTATTCCTGTTTTTAAGGAGCTGTGGAAGGGTTCAGAAGGACCTAATGTTTATCATGCCTTTTTAAAAAAAAAAATTTGATGAGTGGTGTATAACTACAATGTTGTTATACCTCACAATGTTTCTCTTGTTTTTCAGGGTCTGCTGAAGAATCCCTGGCTTGGGCTCTGATGGTAGGATCCACTGTTGGGGGAACTCTCATAGTTTTGATTGTGCTGGTCCTTCTGCTTATCCTCTTCCGGCACAAGAAACACCAGAAAGGCTTTGAGCCACTAATAAATGCACAGTTCAGTGTAAAACAGTACACTGATGAGCCATAGCAGTGAAGCACTGTTTCATGGTATCTCTCCTCATTCCTCATTAGACCTCCAGTTCATTTATTTAGAGCAATGCTTCTCAACCTTGGCGTGGCTTTAAGATGCGTGGACTTCAACTCCCAGAATTCGTCATCTTAAAGCCGCCAAGGTTAAGAAACACTGATTTAGCGCATACTTGCTCCCACATTATAAAATTATGTGCTCAGCTGTATAGGAAGGAATCCTCCAAGCACATGCAAATCTTTGTGGAAGGTATTTACCCATCATTATATTCCTTTTGAGAAATTAGCTCAGCACAAGTTCCCTAAAAATTGCAGGTGGACAAGACCAAAGTCATGAACTTGAGATGGGTGGCCATATATATTGAAATAATGGATAGATAGATAGATAGATAGATAGATAGATAGATAGATAGATAGATAAGGGTCACAAAGAGAGACATAAGATTGATTGTACACCAAAGCTCTAAGGATATATAACACTTTACCTCACCATTATCTAGGAGTGCTAATCACAGAGGTGTTCAAATTTGATTGCATACCTGCTTACTGTTTCTGCTGTCATATTATGTATTTACTGCATTGTGTTATAAAGAACCTGCCTATAACTGCTTCTGTAAGAAAAATGGTCAGTATTGCTCCCTTCATCTATATTCTCTTGAGTCTACGCATTCATTCTGTACTGTTTGACCAACTGTGTAATGTTCTGCAGCCACCAGTGCTAAACCAGAGATCCATGTCTTCTACTGTGAAGGCTGATGTATGTTGATGCTCATTCATTAAAAGGTACTGTGTTATCCACCTTGATAAATCAATAACCAGCTGAAGGCTCTAAGAGAGGCTGGATTCAGCTGTCAATCCAGTATGACAGTATGTCAGAAGACTGAAGAATTGTAGGTGAGGAGGAATGCAACCCTACTTAGTTGGCTTAGCTAAAGAAACTGCAAAGCGTCTTCTGTGGTTAGTTTTCAGTGACAGGTGGATTGGACATTCTGGCTTGTTTCCCTCATAAAAACCAGTCAGCAATTGTGATTTGTTCTTGGCTTCTGATTTGTCTGGTTAAGCTTTAATCCCAGTTTGCACATATCTGAAAACCTTCGATGTGGACCCTTCAAAATTGCTACAGTATTGTATGTTGCATGTGACAGAAGAGGGAAATTAATTAGTAACAATATTTAAATATTAACAGAACAATTTAATGGGAAGTAATCATATTAATACCAATGAATGAATTTTGATTTAATTTTAATTATATTACCTGAAATCATACTTCAGTCACATTTCATTTTTGTCCTGTCCCTTTCTTATCCAAGGCACTGACATTTTGGAAAATGGCCACTGGCATTTCCTTCAAAGGCCAAATGCAGCCCTTGTGTTGCCTGAAAAAGCTTGGTCACTGCTGTGGATACAAAAAATCAAGCCACTACGAGGCCCCAGACACCACTAGTGTGCTTGTGGGAAGACTTCTTGATCAGTGTTTCTCAATCTCAGCAACTTCAAGACGTGTGGACTTCAGCTTCCAGAATTCTTCAGCCAGCATACTGGCTGGGGAACTCTGGGAGTTGAAGTCCATACATCTTAAAGTTGCTGAGATTGATATGAACTGTTCTAGATAAGGAATGCCTGAACAGGTGGAGGGAAATATTTAGTTCCTTCTCCATTCTTTTTTTTTAATAATAACTTTATTAAATTTTAAAAACAGAAAGATAAAAACTAACAAGAACTAATACTCAAGAAAAAGAGTAGAAGAAAAGAAAGAATGAAGAGAAAGGAGAACAGAAATGCAGAAAGATAAAGAAAAAAGAAGAAAGAAACAGAAATACAAAAAAAAAAAAGAATGACTTCCAACTTCTTTTACAGCAGATATAAGTAAAACTTACATTAAACTCTTAGTCTAGCATTACAACTTAACATCCATTTTTTCTATATTAATTTTACTAGTCATAAAATCCATATATCATCATTTCATTTTCTTCTGTTTCCCACAAAAAGTCACTTCCTTCTCTGTTCTTAAAGACATGAGATTGTCCTGTGTTTCACATGTTTATCTCCTCCCACTTGTGTGAGGAAGGCACCTTCTTTCTTCAGTTGTATGATTTGCAACCCATCATCTGTGGTAGGTTAGACTAAAGGCACTCCACCTAAGGTTGAAAAGCAGCTCCAGTCCTCTCTCATCCTGTAACATCAGCAGGAATCAGCTGAGCCAATGTATTTCATTGGCATTATGGTTGAAAATGGCAGCAAAGTTAACATATTCATTTGCTGTGCTTTGAAACACTGAGTCCATGGTGCTTGGGGGTGATCCCACTTTCCAGTTCCTGGTATTTCACTAGGAAAGGTGGCTGGGCAGTTGAGTTGCTGAGATTTTTTTCCCCTGAAACCAGGCTGTCATAGACAGCATGCAGGCAGGAGGGGTATGTGGCAGGAGGTGGCAAAGCCCCAACTCTGGCAAGATTTAAATGCCCTTCCAACATCTCTTCTTGAGCAGAAATTTCAGGATATTCCATCTGAAAAAAGACTTTTCGTAAAGGAGTTATTGAAACTTCAAGCCACGTTGCCCTTCTTACAAGGATGCCCAGTTACAACTCCCTATCTAGGCCACCCAGATTAATGTTATTTACAGATATTATTGTCCAACCAATGTGATTTTATATTCCTGAATGTGGTTACTATTGCTAAAATATGTTGTCTTTTGACCACATTAGTTTTATAATTATTTGGTTTTAATTATGTATTTATTTGTAGTCTCAGAATGTGTTTTCTTTTTTACTTTTGAACTGGTCAATGACCAGAATAAAATTTATCATTCAGACTGATAAATTTGGGGAGGGGACGACAACAGGTTAAACAATCCATTTCCTATCAGATTTCTAGGGGGAAGCAGAGCGTTAGCGACCCTATCCACTTCTTTCTTGATTTCAGCATAAACCAGCTTCAAATGATAGGTCAGGCACAAATACATTTCTTTCATACTGAAGATTAAGGAAGAGACATCACCGCATTAATGCCCAAACAGATTCCTATCTTCATGTTGAAATATTGGACTGCAAATTAACTTCCTCCTTTCATTCTTCTCTCCTTCCCTTCCTTTCCCCTTTTTAAATTGCACAGCCTACTTTGAGTCTTCTGCAACTCATTTGTGGTTTTGTTTATTTTGACCTTTAAACAACTCAGGAAATTTTTCTGAGAACTACCTGAAATGGTGCCAAAGAGGGTTTAGGGATGTCTCATTAGGATGATACCTGTAAGGTTTGCCCCGTTCGACAGAGAAACTCCTGTGACACGTGTGGTTCACAAAAGAG